CCAGAAGGAAAGGGAGACTCATACGGTCAAACCACAGGAAAAAAATCACAATGAACACAGAGTTCCTACACACATCCTAACAGAAATGTACACAGCAAGGAGAGAGGCACACACACTGCTTTGACTCCTCTGCCACCTGCACCTGTTAAATCCAGTCTAATTCCACTGCCTGCAACAGGGTTACAGCTCATTTATATCTGTGTAGATCAGCTCACCTCTACCTCCCATTTAAGACACTCTCTAAACCAGAACCCAGAAAATTCCTCCTGAAAAATCCTCAGAATAGCACAAGTCCCATCTCCAAGTTTCTCAACATGGTCAAAACACCAGGTCCCTGGAGCCCAAACCACAGGACAAGGATCTATGGCAGAACAGTCGGGATGAGCCAGGTCTCCAGGAGGGCCATGGGAAGGGAATTCCCAGAAAAGGGAACTCCAGGCCCCTCTGGGAGAGGAAGAACCTGTGAGCCTTGTGGCACTGCCCCTTCCTGCCTCCCCCCTCTCAGACAGCTAATCAGGGGAGTCACAGGGACCTGACAGGTGACAAATAGGATTGTTCACCTGGCAGGAGCAGGGACAGAGCCAAGCCAAGGGCAGGGAGCACCAGAGGGAGGGGAGAGGGATGCATGGGCAGGACATGCAGGGATCCACCAGGCCTGTTTCCGAGGGTCACAAAAGAGATGGGATGGGGGGTGGAGGCTGCAGCGAGGGAAGCCAGAAGCCTGAGGCCTGGCACAGGCAGGAGGAGGCGTTTCTGGGGGCAGGTTAGAGAAGCAGGTGTGGAGCAGAGCTGGGACACACAGGGTGCCCGTCCTGGCAGGAGCAGAGGGTGACAGGGCCTGTCGGTGTCCCTGCAGCAGCAGAGCAGGGAGGGCAGCAGCTCCAGGCAGGGCAGCGGGGCAGGCTGTGCTGCTGCGAGGGACGGGGACAGGAGCTGCCCTGGTGGCAGGGAACCCAGAGCAGCACCCCTGGGCAGCTGGGGGGGTCCGACAGGGACGTGGGGGGCAGCCAGGGCGGAAAGG